AACACTATCCTTACGATGCACATGTTAGGGTTCGAGATCCCCATATGTTAGGGTTCGAGATCCCCACATGTTAGGACTCTAACCTTTTAGGGATCTTGATCCCAAGTTTTTAGGGATCTTGCTATTTTATTGGGTAAGTCAGTGGGGGAGAAGGCCCCCTACCCGTTTTCCATTAATAAAAGAACAGAGAAAAATAATTAACGTACAACCCTATAGTAGGGCAATTGCGCCAGATCATGTAATAAAAGAGAGAAAAGAAAATCTGGTGGTCTATGGCGCCACACAATAGCACCAGCGCTAGCAGATGCCCTCTTAGAGAGAGATGCCCTCGTAACGAGGGCATCAGCAACCACGTTTCCCTCTCAAAAAACATGTGTAATAGGCCATCGATGAGAAAAAAGTCTGGTGCAGCAATTATCTACAATCGTCTTTAGCTACCATGGAGCACTGCATCAAATTCTGAATGACATTCATAAGCAAGGCCGAATCACTTTTTATCTGTATTGGAAAGCAATTCCTTTGATGAACCGATTGAATTCCTTCCTCAAGTGCCAAAAATCATGCATGGTTATTAGAAGCAAAACCAAAATGCTTCGCAAAAGCAGCAATGAAACCGGCCTCTATGTTCCTGATGACTCCAATACCACCTGCTAAACTTAGATTGCTCAAGGAAGCACCATCAATATTGAGCTTGTAATTCTGAACTTCAAGAAAAGACCACGCCACCGGACTAAGAGATTATAACCTCTGTTGACGCCAAGTTATCTGAAGATTACCGATTATGGCCCTTTCTGATAAATGGAAAGACCACTTTTAACTTTTGCAAGTGTCTGAACATGTAAGATAATCGGTTTCACAATAAGCTCTCTCCTGGTGGGTCTTGACTCAAAGACCCTTCTGTTGCGCTCTTCCCATAGAAATCAAATAGCAGTAAAAAAGATGGAAGACCAAATATTACGAAGTCCATGTGATTTAAACCTGAAAAGTAACCACCACCTACGTAAATCAGGGACAGAAGTACTAAGGACAAACCGTTTTTCACATCTCCAAGCTAATGATCTTGATACACCCTGCACAAGAGCACATTGGAATAATAGATGGACAAGGCTGTCATCATGGTTGCTACAAAAGGGACATAAAGAGTCCAGTTGCATACCGCGCTGCTGCAATAAAAATGACGTGGCCAATTGATTATGCAAGGCCAGCCATGGGAACCATTTCGCCCGTGGGTGGCATTTGGAGGACCAAAGTGCACGGAAAATAGGTTGTGATGAACCTTAATGCATAATAAAATCCCATGCCCCTTTAATAGAAAATAAGCCACCAGCAGAGTGAATCCAAACCAGTGAATCATTTTTGGGCTATAGAAGAACAGTATAATTCTCAACCTCCCTCCATATATTTCTCAAAAAATTAGATGTGGGATGTGGCAGAACCCAATACTGAGGTGAATCTCTGATAAAGTCTGAAACTCTCCTCCTTGCAGTAGCCCCCAAATTCTCCTGAATGTCATGCAAATCTGAAAGTGACTGACCTGCTAACCATAGATCCACCCAGAAATCCACCATCTGACCATTATCAATATTCCACTATACATTGCCTTTCAAGTGAAATAAGTCAAGTAAAATCCCCTTCCATTCATGAGAACATCTTCTTCTTCCTTCAGCCTTCCATATAGAGGAATTTCTAAAATATCAATGTTTGAAGAACCGTGCCAACAACGAGGATGGATTTTCCAAAAGCCTCCATGCTAACTTCATCATTTCTGCGATGTTGAAATCCGCCATTTCCCTTACCCCGAGACCTCCTTCAGCCAGAGTGAGACACACTGTCTTCCATTTTATAAGATGAACACCTTTTTTCTCTGCTTCACCAGTCCATAAGAAGTTCCTCTATAGTCTCTCTATCATATTACATGTTTTCTTCGGAAGAATGAAACACAACAACCAGTGATGCTCCTAGTACAAACTTAAGCAACTGAAGTCGACCTGCATATGAGAGGCATAAAGGCTGCTATGACCCAATCTTACCAAACACCTTACCCACCAGACTATGGCAATAATGTGCCTCAAATGTCCACGAAATAATGGTACGCCCAAATAGCAGACTGGGAGGACTCCTTCAACAAACTTTAACTCCCTCAGAATTCTCCCATGTCCTCCCCATGGAGCACCAAAGAGAAAAAACTTGCTTTTAGATGAATTCAAAATCTGACCAGTACTCCTTTCAAACTTAGAAATAAGTTCACGCATAACAGTGGCAGAAGATATGGATGCCTCACAGAAAATAAGCACATCATCAGCATAAAAAGATGAGAGACCCTATAGTCACACCCTGAAGAGAATGCCCTGAGAACCATGCCTTGCAACATAGCACAATCAAGCTGCCTACTAAAGAAATACATGACCAGCAAAAATAGATAAGGAGATAAAGGATCCCCTTGCCTCAAACCTCACTTCCCTTTAAAATATCCCATCGGTGAGGCATTCCTCAAAACAGAGAAGGAACAAGTGGAAATACGCAAACGAACCCAAGAAACAAATAACTTCGGAAAACCCAAAACATGCATCCTACCCACAATAAAATCCTAGGAAACCCTATCATAGCCACTACTCAAATCGATTTGCAGACACATTTTAGGCCGAGCTGAATTCCTATGGCAAAGAGACACATGTTCATTTGCCATAAGAATATTATCTATAATAGGCCTACCTTTCAAAACTACAGTATGCCTAGGGTCAATAAAATCATCAAGAACAACTCATAGCCGATTAGAAATTATTTTGCTGATGAATTTGTACAAGACATTACACAACCCTATAGGTCGAAAGTCTTTCATCACCCTAGGTGCTTCCACTTTAGGAATCAAACATATAAAAGTGGAATTGATTTGCTCAAGAAGCTTACCTTTAGTGAAGAAATCTTTAAGGTCCAGAAAAAGATCATTTTTAATGACTTCCAATCCAAACTTGTAGAATTCCGCTGAAAACCCGTCAGGACCTGAGGCACATTCATTTTTCATATCCCAAATGCATTCTTTGATATCCTCCATATTTACTGCGTCCACTAATTTGTCCTTCTGAGAAGAATTGAGATGAAATGACGACAAGAACTGATCAACCATGCGCAGGTCAATATTACTCTCTTGAGCTAATAGGTCCTTTGAAACAGCCAATCATATGATTTTCAATGTCAGCCTCAGTAAACAAAAAATTCCCATGCTGATCTTTCAAAGAGAAAATTCTATCTTTCCTCCTTCTCACCACAACCGATAGATGAAAATATTTGGTATTGGAGTCCCCCTCTTTTAACCAGTTTTGAAGTGAGTTTTGCCTCCAGAATTTTTCTTCATGGTCCAAAATAGTTTGCAATTTCTGAATACACTCTTTTTTCTCAGACATGAATGTCTCATTGGAAGGATCCATGTGTAAGCTATCATGCGAAGATGATAGTTGATGTCGAACTATCGCAATGGATTCCCCAACATAACCAAATACATCCTTGTTCCATAACCGAAGGTCAGCCCTAAGCCTCTTACGTTTAGCAACAAAGCGATACATGAGTCCCCCCCACTTGGCCTTGCCAGGAATTAAAGATAACATCTAAAAAACTGTGGTGCTGCTACCACATAGAGAAATACTTAAAAGGTTTGGGTCCAATTGGACCCAAATCAGAAATAAAGATGAGTAAGGGACAGTGATCTGAGGTGCCTTTAGGGAGTAACTAGAATTTGGATTCAGGGAAGGCCAAAACCCAATCAATAGTTGCTAATGCCCGGTCCAACCTTCTTCTAATGTATCTTCTGCTCAACTAGTAATTAGACCACGAGAACTACCCTCTGACTACACCAAGAGCGCAATCCGACATTACTTGAGTAAAATCATCTGAATCTGATGGTCAAGAACTGTTGCCCCCTACTTTTTCCGAGGAATCCAATAGAGTATTAAAATCTCCTAATACCAGCCAAGGAAGAATAATAGTTGCTCCTAAAGCCCTCATATGGTCCCAAAGCATGGCCCTTTGGGACACATAATTAGATGCATAAACTCCTGAAACAACTGCAATCTTGCTGCCAACCCTAAAGTGTATGATAATATAGGATTACGTACAGTCTTTAAAGTGGGATCTCAAATTGAAAGTATGCAAGCAACGCAACTATATTAAAAGTATAGTTGCAATGATAGCTGGCTATAACAAAGAAAATCTTTTGCTTGGTTATTGTCTTGTCTTTAAGATTGGGATCAAGATCCCTAACAGCAAGACTTTGGATCGCTATCAGTGGGGATCAACCGATCAAGATCCCAAAATTTAAAATCGAGATACTTAAGAGATCCGTTCTGGAAGCAATAGAATCAAGATCCTTGAAGGGATTGCCTACTAAAGTAGGAGATCCCAGTAACTATGTCAGGAACTTCATCCCTAATAAGAAGGATCGAGATTACAAAGTTTGAAAATTGCATAGAAGCGAGATCCTCCTCTCTGGAGGGCAAGAGAGAGGTTCTAGAGTGGGATTCATCCCTTAGGAGTTGCGACAACTATGCCCTCCCCAAAACATGGTTGGTCATTTTTCCGCAGGATTGACTGCATTTTAGACACGTTTGATAACTTGGGAACAATGTTTCCTAGGGCAAGGCATGTTTTTATTGTGTTTTTTAGTCCAGTTTCATATATTGAAATTTCAGGACAGGCATGTGTCAGACCAAGGAGATATAAGGGCATGAATAAAGAGAGATAATTCTATGTTTCATGAAAATTTCTAAAAAGCACCCTATCACGTAATCACACCGCAAACAAATTCTAGCCCTCACAATATCTTCACAACCATACCAAGAGAGATACAAATCAGAGCTGCTAATCTAATCATGAATTCAGCCAAAAACATGCTTATGTCAACAAAATATCTAAGAAGTTGATGTAGATTTTGTCCATGTAGACAAAAATCTCTATATGCCTACAAAATTAACTTAGCCGTTGGATCCTTAAATACGATTGATACATACCAAATGGAATCCCAAGGCAGAAATCATGGATCCTGGCTGTCTTCTTTCCCTCTTCTTGGGTGTTAGAAATATCTACTGAAGTGTTCATCCCATGTTTTCCACTGACCTCTTCTGCTACAGTGGAATATGATTTTAATGACTCTTCTATTTGGCTACTTGAACCATGCCCTTGATAGTTTATGGAATCGGTAGCCTGAGAATCAAGGACTTGCATGTTACTCCCTTCAAGATGCGCATCAACTGACAACTACAAATTCAAAGGCATTTAACATTAAGAACTTAATTTTTGATAACATAGATTTCTTTAAGAAATACTTATAACATGTAAATGTCATGTAGGCAGTTAGTATTTCTTAGGAGATCCAGATAAACAATAATTTCAAAGCATTTACATCACTGGTTCTTTTAAAGAGCTATTCAAACTCCCCAAGCATGGAATTGACCATATAATTTTACTTGTTTTGCTCATCAACTGATGACAAAAGAGAGGTAGATATGCCCAACATGCAAACCAGAAATTGCATCCCAACATGCAAAAACAGAGATTGGTGCAACACTATATACTGCTTAAGTGCCATACTTTTAGTGTATATGAACACATCAGTAGCTTTTCCCTTTTGTGATTTTCACAAGTGACAATTTATTAAATATAATAACGGGATAAAAAATGTTGGAGCATTAACACTGAAGGTCGCAACATATCTCACATGTTCTGTTGCATCCAAATTACACTGATCAGATAACTATCCACCACAAAGTTTGCCTCACTTTTTACATATGAAGTGAATTATATAAAATACGTACTTTCATGCCTTGTATTTCATAGAAGCATATGTAGTGAACTGTATTTTATTTTATCTTACTGGCTCTTCATGCCTCTAATGTGTTAGTTAATCCCCTACATGAATTCATATTCCATTTTCACAAACTTACATGCAATTAGAACTAAAGATCCAAGATACGCACCTCTTTCTCCACCAAGCCATAATTTTCATGTCTTTATCAATGAATCGAGCTAGGTACATCTCTCTCTCCCCCCCTCTCTTTCTCTCCCCCCCCGCTCTCTTTCTCACTCCCCCCCTCCTCCCTCCCTACCCCACCGCACCCAAAAAAAACAATCTGTGGACTGTTTCTTATTACATTGTGAAGCTTCAGTAGCATATTCATGGCCTACATGGATTATGACTAGGGTAACAACTACAACATTATATGGTTTCTTGCAGGTTTTAAATCTAGTTGCAGTGAACTCAAAGGAGCTCTCTTTGGTGGGCTTACACCCTGTTGATGTTTTGCATAATTTGGGTATAAAGCAAGAACCATCTTCAAAGGGCAGACGTCGTGTGACTAAATATCGATAAAGACCACATAAAGACATCATATTTTGAGGAAGCTCTAAGATCGCAGGACATGGTTAATGTTGGAGAGTTTGAGGCATTTTTATACACTAGTTAGCTAACTGTGACGGGAACTTGAAAGAGAACCTCGGTCCAGCTGGACTTTGAGAGACCACATAGAATGAGAAAGAAATTACCAAATTTATTGCGGATCCTCTTGTTGATGAGGATTCTCAAGAAGAAGCTCAAGCTTCATAAGTTGGCCCTAGTATTTCACGAAACTAGAGATGACTGAGGGAGGTTTTCTATATGTGAGGGGGTAGCTCCAAATCAAGGAGCCCAATAGCGTACCACGTTGAGATTCAGTTACGATTTGGGGCCCATTAGCGTACCAAGTTGAGATTCAAGTACAATCTCTCTCTCTCTCTCTCTCTCTCTCTCTCTCTCTCTCTCT